GTGGTGGAGATTTGGATCAGTGTGAAACCAGAATTTTATGAAGGGCAGAAGTAAAACTCCCCCACATTTCTCTCACTTCCCTATTTGCAATTTCTGGCTGAATCTTTCACTCCTGCTGGATCTTCCCCTGGGAACTGATTGAAAGAGCCTTGCTAGTTTAATCCAAATTGCCCTCCAGTTCCCTGGTGATGCAATTAATTGAAAGCAGGATTTTTACCTCTCTGTTCTGCTTAAAAGTATCCCCTGGCCATCAGGCTCTCCTGCTATGAGATCTAAGAGTCCCTGTGCTGGCAGCCAGTGGGAAGTATGAGCTTGGCTTTCTAAGGGGATAATCCAGGAAGACATCAGGTCCCCCTGAGTGGGAGTCCCAGCCTTAATCAGTGTCTCTCACAGTTGTGGGCTATTGAAGTTCAGCATCAGGAGTAGTTTCTTCCAGCACTGAAGCTTGCAATAGCAAACTTAAACTTTTTGCCCCACAGTAATCTGCAATGGGAGAGGCCCCTAGTGCCTCCCCATGACAGATATCCTTTTGAGAATTTCTATGAATCTGCTCTCCTTGCCACAGAATTAATCAAACTTAGAGATAGATGACAGTCAGGCTTTTGCTAGAGTGAATGTGCTGAAATGCAGTAAATTCCATGTGAAGATCTAATGTCTGATACAGGCATACTCTAAAGAGGCAAAACTTGAACTAGCAAAATTCTGAGAGCTGGGTGACCCCAGCAGAACAGTGTGAGCCTGGGATGAAGAGAGTGAGTGATGCTGTGGCACCACGTGCCTCAGTTTGCCTGGCTGGCAGATAAGTAGGAGGAGAAAAAGACTGTAGAGCTCAGGGCTCTGATTCCTGTTGCCTGTCAGAATTAGTTGTGAATAGGATAGGGAGAAGTTTAAGAATTTGGACCTGTTGCCATAAGTTCTGACCGACAGTTCCTCCTGCCCACATGACTCGTGGTGGTGAGAACAGACTGTGGCAGATAATTTGCAGGTGGACTCTGAGCCAAGGCTGAGTCCCAGTTTGGCTGCTCTTCCTTGTGAAGGGAAAGGCATGTTTTGGTTTTCCTGGGCTGTCTGCAGAGCCTCTCTCTCCAGTCTGGGAGAGGTGCCAGCCACTTCCAATGCCTTTCCCCTGTGAGTTTAATAACTCTACTTCCTTCATCCTGTCTTGAGCTCTCAAAATAGCATCCTCAGGTATGACATGACATATTCTATTGCCCTGCTGTCTGCTGCAGACAGTGCCCTCTTTCTTTCTGCTTATTCGTGCTTTGGTTTATACACAGTGCTTGGGATTGGAATCCTTTGTCATATTAGAGATGCCAGAGACCTGGGAGAGGAGGCAACTCTTGCTGAGAGCACTGGAGCCTGCTACAGAGTGCTAACTCCCACAGCACTAGGATGCATTTTGGAGGGCTCCTAGGCGTATCCAGGACTGACTTAATTTCATTTAGCTACCAGAATTTCCTTGGCATTGGAGCACAGCACATCCTCTAGTTTACCTGAGGTGGGATCCTTTTAGGTCCCTTGAAAATGGTGGATTTTTGCAGGCTATGAAGCAGGGTGATCACAAATCTTCCTTCTCTGTTTAACCACTGACTCTTAGCAAAGCCAAAACTCCTGAGCATGAGTTCATTAGCCCATTGGAACGGTGCTTCCTTGGCTCCTGACTTCCCTCCAAGGCTCTGGCAGCCAGACACCACCTCTGCTGCCAAGCTAAACCTTGCCATGCTGTGTGATGGGACAGGCTGCTCGGCACACAGCCAGGGATGAGCCTGTTCTCACTCAGCTATTGAGCATCCCTGCAGACACACTGGTTATGCCAACCTCCATCCTACACAGCCTTCCATACAGGCTCATATTTCCTCTCTAGAGCTACCTCATCCTTTCATCCATACTCTCTCCCTATAAGAGGAGGCAAATCCATGTTCACTCCATCCTTCCCTTCCAAAAAGCTGTGTCTGGACTGCTGATGCCCTATTGGGGAAGTTAAATGACCCCTTGAAGGGACTGGCTGCCATGTAAACAACCTAGCCCAGCCACTGCAGAGCTCATTTGGCTGGTTTGGCCTCTTGCAGGCTCTCTAAAAGTCATCTCCCCCTCCCTTCTTTTGTGTTCCTGCCAAGTGAGCTCTGCTGCGCTGCGTCCCTGATCTTTTCTGACATTAATTACCCTTTCCTGGCTCAGACTGCCCTGTTTGTGGCCAGAAAACCAAACTCACTTGCGCCTGGAAGCAAAGCAGGAGGGAAGAGAGGGTGTCTGCTTCCTTGGATGGCCAACTGGAATAAGCAGGTGTCTTTGAGCCCTTCCTACCCCAGGGAGAGCTGCTAGAAGGCTTTGCCCATTGCAGCCCAGGCTGGATCCAACTGCTGAGCACCTGCTCTGCCTGCTGGAGTGGCTGGGAGTGAGGGTAATGGGCCGGCTTTGAATCTGTGCCCAGCATCTTCAGAAATGCACCAAACAGACCCAGCACAAGTGCAGGGAGAAACTGCAGCCAGAGTAAATCCTGGAGTCAGCCCATCTCCTTTCATATGTGACTTTGTAGGCCACTAATCTCAAAGTTGTTTTCCTTCACTTCACCTTGGTGCCCATGGCCTCCCACCTCCCTGTCACAGCCCTACCCCAGGAGGTGATATCCCTTCCCATGGGGAGGTATGGGGTCCCAGCTCCTCACATCATGCAACCTGAGGCAGTGTGACAATCCAAGGATGGATGCTGCTCTGAAAACACCACTGAAGACTTTCCTGGCACCAGCCACGTGCTCAGTGCCACCCACTTTCCCAGGGTGACAGTGTTCCAGTGCAGGCCAGAGCTCTGAGGCTCTGAGCTTCTGTTGAGGGAGTACAGTTCTCCTGCTGGGCTTTTGGAGCCTGCCACCAGCCTACATCAGGAGGAAGGGGGTAAATCAGAGAAGGGTAAATATGGGCATGGTGTTGTTCCTGACACTTCTACAGTGCCCTGAAATTCCCATCACACACCCAAAGGAAACAGCAGCACTTGGAGAGCTTAACTGGCAACTCACTAGTTACAAATTCATGGTCTGTATTAACTCCTATGCTATAAACAGACAGAAAGGAAAATCTGTACTTTCTTTGGAGAGAGCAGCAACGTTTCTCAAAAGGAGCATCTGTATGTGTTTGCCACATCTTTGAGCCTGCATCTAATCTAAAGGGACCCATGAAGCAGAGTTATTTCTAAAATACAGCACCATCTAGTGCTGTGCTGCAACAGGTCACTGCGGGCAGCCCACATGTCCCCACCTCGGCACCCCTCAGCACTTGGGGGTCTTCTCCTCATTTTCCCTTCCCAGTGTAAGACTGCCTTTTGGAGTGGGCTTTGATTTGGTTTGTGTGTCAGATGGCAGTGGGTTGTCTGAGGGCTGCTTCAACAAGTCTCTGTGCCTCTGTGTACTTGCAGGGTTCCAGCAGCCTCTTGCATAATTCATGGAGAAATTCTGTTAAAACTCCATCCAAACCTCAAATCGTATGTGAAATGCAGCTGGAAACCATCTTTGTAGATTCGAGCCATTGCAAACATCCCTTCCCCCTGCTCCACCACACCTTGTATTCCTGTGTGTTAAAGCCAGGGAAAATTTCTAGTTGTGCAGAAATCCTGGAGCTGATTGACACAAATACAGCTGTTTACCTGGGCAGTGCCTGTACCCTTGTGACCTGCAGAAACATAAAGGGTGATGGGCTATTGCTGAGGGTCTGGGGGGACGGGGGGGGGGCAAGAAAGATAGTATCAGCAGGTTAAATTTCACAATTTAAAGCCTTATATTTGCACTGGAAAATAAACTTCATGAGAGTTGAAAACTGCTGATCTGAAGTATCTGTGGGATAAAAATGGGATTAAAAGGAATTAAAAGTGCTGCAAACACTAAGAGGTGTACAAGTTGTTTGGCCAAGAGCAGAACTGGCTGATCATTATGGAGTTAATTTACCTACCTTCCTGCCACCCCATCATAAAAAAAACAACCTGAAAATGGTTGGCTTTTTCCCATACCCGAAATTCAAGGGTTCAGATTAAACCCAAATTTTCTTCAAGTTATATCTAGGATTCATATGCGTGGTTAAGACATGTAATGTGGTACTAAGAGCTCCTGTAAGTCAGAGCAATCTTTAAATCAAAGCAACCTTACACTCCTCTCCCCTTCCAAACCCAGGCACTGTGAGGTGAAACCCTTGAGTTGTAGGAGCATGGAAGGAGAAACTAGTAGGCCAGGAAATGCTTACAGTGGTGCTGTGTGATTGACTCTTGCTGTACAGACAGGTTTCCTCCTGCTTTTCCAGGGAGAAGGAATGTTGTATGAAGAAAACATAGTCTGGCAGTAGCTTTGTGTGATGTAACCATGGGTAGGATTTGGGATGGAAAAAGTTTGTTCTGTGGTAACCAATACCACAATGGGGGAGGATGCCTGAGAAACTCGTTTCTTTCACAAGCGTGTGATACCTTTTCCCACATCTATTTGACCATTTAACCAAAGGAAAACATATTGTTTCTTTGCACCAGGCTTTGTTATTTCCCCTTTCCCAGAGGATGAGGCCAACATCAGCATGAAGGTGTGAGAATTTTGAAGCAGAACTGCTTGCTGTGTACATAAGGGGATGGTTTCCTTGTGACACCAACAAAATCAAAACTACGAAGCCTCTATTTTGGAGCTAGCCCCAATGGCAATAAAAATTAAATTGTCCTTTTCAATTCTTTTGTTTACTGAAACACAAAAGCAGCAGTGTAGGAACTTGCTCTCCATGGCTCACAGCAAGGGCAGGGTTGGTATGAACCAGTTCTCAGACACAGCTGTGCCTGAGACCCCAAGAGCTTCTTCTTTCAGAGACCCAGGCCACAGTCATGAGTTGGTGTAGCCTTGTAAATCCAGCTGGCCAAAGCATTTTGCTACTCAGCTATCAGGAAACACCTTTTGTAGGTGCTGTGGCATGTGCATATCTCTTTGGTCTTACCTCCACATGTCAAACATGCCTCTCTTGCTGGTTTTTTTGCACAAACAGGAGCTGCTGCCTCACACTGGACTCTGGCCTCCCATCGATGCAGTGTCAACCCAGCAGCATCCTGCCCTGAAGGAGAGAAGTTCCAAGCATCAAACATCAAGAACAGGTCCCATGGAGACAAGGCCACACAGCAGCTTCCATGTGTCAGCGTTCCCACTGCGTCCTTCCCACAGGCAGCCCAAATTCGGCTGCTCACATACACAGCTCTGTGGTGAGCTAATGTTCAAATAAAAACACTGCTAAGTCATACCTCTGTGTTCCTCTCTAGCACTATCTTGGCCTTTCTTGGGTCAATGTGGGATTGTTCCCTGTGTTTGTTCCTAGACCTTTTATTTCTCCCTTTGCCGGCCTAATTATGAATGCCCCAGCTGAGAGAGCTTTCCATTTCCTTCATTTGCTAGGCAACTAAATGTCTGCACATTTCCATAGGGGTCTGTAAACATCTCATGGTACATTCTCCTAATTAGAAAACAATGTCTGTAGTTGTGTTTACATTGCTATGCTTATTAGGAAGTAAAATGCTGGGTTGGTCTTGTGTTATGTGCAACTTGAGATTGTGCATTTGTGTGCTGTTCGGAGGAGTTTTTAATTGGTTTTTAAGAAATGTATCTTGGGGGTTTCTTGGTTTCTGAATCAACACAGACAGAGGGTTTACAGCTTAGCTATTGTATGAAATTACAGATCACATGTTCCCTGTGAACTTTCCCTAAGTTTATTCAACTCCAAAAATGTAAGTTGAGTTAAAGAGGAAATATTGCATGGGTTCAGCAACGAGCCACCTCCCTGGGAGGCACTACTTGTGATCAGGCAGTAAAGTTTCAGATCAGTTGGGCAGAACTAGTAACAAATATCTCCAAGTTAATATCTGTACAAAGGGGAATCAGAGGTTTTCCACATTTCTAGGAGCAGTATTCTAGAAGCATAAAGAAGGAATCCATGAGTTCATCAGTTCTGATCTTCCATATAATTCAGACTGTAGTAATCAAAATCAATTTGAGATCAATGTCTTTTGAACTGAATATGTGTTTGAGAAAGGAGTCCAGTCTTGCTTCAGAAATTGCCAGTAGTGAAGAGCTGATTGCTACCTTATAAATTGTTCCAGTTATTAGAAATGTTCACTTTACTGCTATATTCTTACTTCAACTCCCAGCCCCTAAATCTACATTTTGTCTCCCAGAATGATAAGCCTTTGGTCAGTTTTGTTCCCCATATTTCTGCTTCAACAGAGTGTAAGATCACTCCGTAACAAGAAGAATAAATTGCAATATTGGATGCTTCTGCTTGAAACCTATTTTGTAAACTTTAGATTCAATTTGTGGCTCTTGTCTGGACCTTTTCCAGTCTATCAATGTACTGTGAAGGGTGAACCCAGGCTCTGTGTACTGCCAAATGCCTCACTACCAAGTGCAAGGGTGGGGGAATTGCTCTTTGTTACTGATGATGTTATGCCACAAAATCACAAAAGAGTTGATTGGAAGGGCCATTTTTGGAGACATGCTCACCATCTCCCGCCTTATAGAGTGAGGCAGATCTTAACTCCCTTTGGCAACCAGGACCTACCTGATCTTGTCCTTTACAAGTGTGGAGGATCACAGGTCTCTAGAAGTCCCTGTTGTCAGTCACTACTGGCACAGACTGTGGTGCTGTGCCTCTGCCCAGCCATGACAGAAAGAGCCCAATTCAACACTAACCCTTAAGCAAAGGTGCACTGACTCCCAGTAATTGGAACAGCCCTTCTTGCTTATTTTATTCCCAGCATTTGAACTGCAGCACATTCCAGTTGGGTAAAAAGACTCTGCTGTTTGGAGCATGCCAGAGTCAGGTGGTGAACATACCAAGAGCCAGACAGGATACTGTGCTTCCTCTGAGAGTAAATGCTGAAAGTCATGCAAAGCATCTTTTACTCTGGCTTGGCCTCAGCAGCATCTGGAAAGGAAGGGACTTCACAGAGACAGAGAGATTATTCTCTCCTAGCTTGGAGACTACCTGGCCTTTTAGTCACATTTGAAAGCCTTTATTTTTAAGGGCTGCTCCCTTTGTTGGCAGAACGTTCACCCCCAAACCCTCGTCTGCTGGGAGCTCGATCCTCGCTCAGGGACCTGCCGTGCAGGAACACAACCAGTGTGGATGCTCTGCACCTCCTAAGTTTATATCTAAGGCAACACCATGGGATGACTTAAGGAGCTCTTGGACTTATGCCAAGTCTGTGTTCAGACATAAACTGAGAGAAATGTGCTACTAAGAAACAGTCCAGATTTGTCTTAAGTAATTGCACCTCTGGACAGTCTCTTTTAAGGACTCTGAGCACTGTTACCACCAGGAGAGGGATATTGGGTTTGTCTTGAGGTGTTTGGGTTTTTTTAAAGAGGCAGTTCAGAAGGTTCAAGGGAATGTCTAAAAGTTTCAACATGCTTCATACAGAGAACAGGCAGTGCTCCTGTGGCAGAAACTCCCTGAATCTATTAAGTCATCTTCAGAGTTCACCTTAAAAGCTAGATTCCTCCCCAAAACTTCATGGAAACCATTTGCTAGGCATTCAAGACACTTTCCCATGTGGTGTGGTTGTTGACATATGAACAGCCTGGAACAGATGTCGATGGCATCCTTACTGTTCCATTTTACAAGCTGCATCACTCATGGTCTCAAGGCCATTGTGAATTCCAGACTGTCATAGTGAGGATGAGCACTGGAAAGCCATTGGGATCACAGTAGCCAGCAGATTCTGCAACAGATGGTTCTAACCTTTCATCATAACGTTCAGGTGTTGTATTTTATGCTGTTTGGGAGCCTCCCACTGGAGTGAGCTGGATGGAAATCAAGCCCTGTCTAGGCATGTTTGAGCTGTGTTGCAAGAAATCCTTTAATTTCCATAAACAAGTGCAGTTTGAAATCTGGCCCTTGACTCCTGACTGTCTTTATTCCTCATCTGTAAATAGAAATGGCACCATAGTCTGGCTCACAGGGGTATCTGAGGAGAGTATCACCATGCAGGAGTAGCTCAGTTAGAACAAGTCACAAGAGCACATCAATCCCAGTATCCACAGCTGGGTCCCAACAGGATTTATTCATCACCTTGTGGAAGGAACATCAGTTTTCTGACAATCAATAAAAATGAGATTATATTCTTCAAAAAGCTTTGCCTTTCATACTGATATCCACAAAGTTCATGGTGTTCAAACAGATTTTCCCAAGCTGGTCTGTTATATGTGTTTTCCTAACGGAGAACTCAATATTTTCATTTTTACTTGCAAAACTGTCTCTACATCAAACTTTGTTTTGATTTTTATAGACTCAAACACTATTTTTAGGGTTATGTTATTCATTGAGGCTTAAAGCCAGTGGAGTCATCTTGGTAAGTCAGACTTTATGGCTATTTTCATGAGATCAGATGTAACTTCAGTCCAGGCTTTTGGAAGGAAATGGCTTTCAGGGCTGCCAGTTAATTTGTGAGAAGATACTGCAAGGATATTCTCTTCCTATTGTGCATTTCTTCCCTAATAAAACTACAGTGCTTCAAGCAAGAAGTTTTGAGTGCACAGGAACAGGCCGTACCAGTGTGCCGAAAGGCAAGCCGGCGGGGAAGACAACCAGCTTGGTTAAACTGGGAGATTCTGAAGGAAATCAGGGATAAAAAGAGAACTTACCGACTGTGGAAGAAAGGGCTGGCTACTTACGAAGAATTCAGGAAGACAGCTAGATCATGCAGAAAGAAAATCAGGGATACAAAAGCGCAATTTGAAGTTAAATTAGCCACCTCTGTTAGGGATAACAAAAAGTCCTTCTATAAATACATTAATAACAAAAGGAGGAGCAAAGAAAACCTTCATTCTTTGAGGGACTTGGAGGGAAACATAGTTAATAGAGATGAGGAGAAGGCTGAGGTACTTAACACTTACTTTGCCTCAGTTTTTACCAGTAGGACAGGTGGCCCTCAAGGCAACCGGCCTCTGGAGCTGGTAGACAGAGATAGGAAACCAAATAGCCCCCTTGTATTCCAGGAGGAAATTGTTAGTGACTTACTGAGTCATCTGGATCCTCACAAGTCTATGGGACCAGATGGGATCCATCCTAGGGTAATGAGGGAGCTGGCAGAAGAGCTTGCCAAGCCGCTCTCCATCATCTTCCAACAATCCTGGCTCACTGGGGAGGTCCCATATGACTGGAAGTTGGCAAATATCACCCCAATCCATAAAAAAGGCTGCAAGGCTGACCCTGGTAACTACAGGCCTGTCAGCCTGACCTCGGTGCCTGGCAGAGTTATGGAGCAGATCATCCTGAGTGCAATCACACAGCAGCTACAGGATGGACAAGGGATCAGACCCAGCCAACATGGGTTTAGGAAGGGCAGATCCTGTTTGACCAACCTGATCTCCTTTTACGATCAGGTGACCCACCTGGTGGATGAGGGAAAGGCTGTGGATGTGGTCTATCTGGACTTCAGCAAAGCCTTTGACACTGTCTCCCATAGCATACTCCTGGAAAAGCTGGCAGCCCACGGCTTGGACAGGGGCACTCTGTGCTGGGTCAGGAACTGGCTCAAGGGCCGGGCCCAGAGAGTGCTGGTGAACGGAGCTGCATCCAATTGGCGACCGGTCACCAGTGGTGTTCCCCAGGGGTCAGTGCTGGGCCCAGTCCTTTTTAACATCTTTATCGATGATTTAGATGAGGGGATTGAGTCCATCATCAGCAAATTTGCTGATGACACCAAATTGGGAGGGAGTGTCGACCTGCCGGAAGGCAGGAGGGCTCTGCAGAGGGATCTGGATAGACTGGAGAGATGGGCTGACTCCAATGGAATGAAGTTCAACAAGGGCAAGTGCCGGGTCCTGCACTTTGGCCACAACAACCCCCTGCAGCGCTATAGGCTGGGCACAGAGTGGCTGGAGAGCAGCCAGGCGGAAAGGGACCTGGGGGTGCTGATCGACAGGAGGCTGAACATGAGCCAGCAGTGTGCTCAGGTGGCCAAGAAGGCCAATGGCATCCTGGCCTGCATCAAGAACAGTGTGGCCAGCAGGAGCAGGGAAGTGATCCTTCCCCTGTACTCTACATTGGTGAGGCCACACCTGGAGTATTGTGTTCAGCTCTGGGCCCCTCAGTTCAGGAAGGATATTGAGGTGCTGGAGCGGGTCCAAAGAAGAGCAACGAGGCTGGTGAAAGGACTAGAGCACAAGTCCTATGAGGAGAGGCTGAGAGAGCTGGGGTTGTTCAGTC